GCTCTTTTACCAACGAATAGTGGATTGACCGTCACATTATAAGGTCCCCACGGCTGAAAGGGCGATCATTTTTGGTGGGACGGGGATGTTGACTAGATATAACAAATGTACTGAAACATTTTCTGGCGTTGGTATTGATTATATTCTGGTGTTATCATATCAATAAATAGGTGAAACAGTATATCCTGTAGTCGAAACAAAGCATAACATGTTGTTGTTGTTGTTAGTTTGGTGTTCTGTTAATGAATGCTCCAGCAACGTGCAGGTATCACGTTGATTGGCTCGCGTGGACATTTTCACCCTCCCCGTTATATAGGATTTTAAGGGGTATCGAAAGAAAATCGGATATTGTCTCCTAGCTTTAATCTTTTATGAACAGCAGAACCCTAAAGTAAAATGGGGACACATTTCACACCCTATCCTTGTGCATGATTAATTTGCTGGAAAGCATAGTTGTTTACACAAGAACTTATGTGTAGGGAATTCAAACATAAAGAACGTGTGATTATGCTTTTACAAATTCTCTAAGCCTAAAAACAGTAAAGTATAATTGCGAAGCTTAGCTCGTTGGAAGATGTATATCTTTGTAGGGTATAAAATCACATCCCTATGAAATCCGTACAAATTAATAATCTCAAAACTATCAACATGCAAGTGCTCATGAAATAAGATAAACGGAAACTATATCATTTGGGTTTAAAACATAACCAAACTTAAGCTGTATAAAAAAATAGCCGAAAATTCTAATATAAATCACATGACAATCCCCAAAACTAATACAACTGTAAAAATCCCAGTTTCACACATTCTTATTATTATTACACATAGGCGCATGTACAGTGATTATGATCATAAAACATCATTCGCCCCACATAACTCTGCTGTTTGTTTTCTGAATAACAAACACGGACCGTTTAGAATATTCAGTTTACTAAACATTCGAAAAACTTTATTTGGGGATCTTAGTCAGAAATCAGTGTTCAAACTTTATTTTAACAGGGCCGTAAATAAATCATTGTTCAGACTTTAGTTTACGTGGATTTCAGCTAGAATTCAAAGTGTGTCAAACTTCTCTTTAGTGCGATTTAAACTAAAGTTTAAAATGTTTTAATGTATATGCGACGATGTTTCGCTTATCGCTTAATCAGAACAAAATGTGTTGAGATATATACGTTATTCTGATACGAACTAGAATAAAATGCATAAATATCGTTTACCATAATTAAAACCAGGGCAAATTTAATTCGATGTATTCACTCACCGGATGTTAATTTACTTGTTCAGTTTACTATGGTGTTAAGTAAAACAAAGTACGTCAAAACTTGGTGTGTAGTTTACTATTATATAAACAAGGATAGAGTGTGGCAAGATTTACAGTTTACCGTGATTAACCCAGAACTCAAAATCCCTCTGTTTACAGCAAGTTTTCATTTGTTACTGTCGCCACCACAGGTTTATAAGAAACTAGGCCTCATTTGATACCGTTATGTATGAGTGAATTTTGAGTGGCTATTGAAAACAATTGCATTTGATTCGTCAGAATAAGCAGCATTATAAACGCAACTGTTGTAATCAAAGCTGAGAGCACTTAAACTTCATCACCATAGAAACCACTGCTTTTGTAAAGAACTCGAGTAGGTTACGACTTAAACGAGGTTTAGAACGAGAGTACACGACAACTCTCGTGGTTAACGTTCTTTAGTGTTTTTTATGCTCTCGTTTAGCTCACTCTTAATTGTTCCCTTGTGTACTGTTCAAGCATCGCCAGTACTTGTATTCCGTAGACAACAGAAGGCCAAGCGCGGTCAAAACCACGATACACACGAAGCGCAACACATTTCATAATTACGATAACGTTGTTTTCGACGTTTTTAACGTTTTCGAAGGAGAGCAGTGACTACTGTTTCAATAATCACAACGTGTTTCTTTAGTTGTAGCTGCGGTTTCAAGATCCTAATTACCAAGATGAAAGATACATCGAGATGTGAATCACAGAAACCTAAACCTAATTAATATACACTACATTAGACATAGCTCCGTATAATTACATTTACTGAGACGTAACCAGTGAAGCAAGAAGCTACGCAATGAGGCAAGAAAGAAAACACAATTTGATAAAAAAAAAGTTCTAAGCAATCTAGACTTATCGATAATACTTGACAAGAAAAGAAATGTATGCGTAAATTAAACTAACATGCACATTTATTCATGCATGTATGTCTCTTTACATACG